ATATTTTTCACTGTTGTTCATCAAAGGAACACAAAGATGAGAGGGCTATTCTTGTGACCTGCAGGGGATGTGCATGTTTGTTTTCCTCTGTGAAGATGACAATAGTCCAATTAAGAGTGGACTTCTGGGGGAGGTTTGGTGAACTGAAATGTCTTCTTGAGAGCAGAGCCAGCAACCCCAGCAAAGATTAAGGAACCAATGAGTAAGTTGGTTTCTTGAAATGCATTCAGATAAGGAGAGGATGAGAGATCACTCACATGTGCAAGAAGAGTGCAGAACAGTAGTTTTCTGCAGTCTGAACACCAGGAGATAATGGGATTAGCCATCTTCTCACAACTGAAATGGAGCCTTTAAGTTTAAGGCCACTAAGATGGCAAGCCACCCTTTCTAATCTCTTTCAGAAATTGCCTATTAATTATCGTAAAGCTCTTAGAGACCTTCAGAATGAAAAGTTTGAAAAGTCATTGGGTGAATTTATCTTGAACTCTGAACAAAAGAAAAATTAATTATAAGCTTTAAAAAATGGAAATAAACAGGGAAAAAAGCTAAATAAGATTTTGATCTAAGAATGTTATAAATTGATTAAGGGTCTAGATAAATTTAGAATGTTGTTGACTTTTGCCATAAGACTTTGGAATTAATTATAAAAAATAAAAAATCTCATGGGAAACACACTTATTTTAGCTATCCGGGCTATTGTAAGTCATATTAAAGATAAGTTACTTTATGATTTTAGAAACTGGAGACCAGAGGAGACTAAAATAAGCAGAAGAAAGAAAAGATGTGTTTCTTGATGTCAGTATTTTATGGGAACTAGGACTTACAAAATGACAAAAATGTTATCAGAAACCTTAAAAGATACATTTTAATAATGGAGCCAGAAATTAATATCTATAATATCACTGCTGTCAGTAATGATGTCTGCTTCTAGGGATAGAGTATTTTCAAGAGATGTTAATAAAGGGATGATTGATGTGTAACACATTTTATCTGACAGGATAAAATACTGAAAGTGAAACTACAAATGACAGGCCAAGAGAATTATTTGGAAAAGGACACTAGATAAACAAAAGAAACTGGCTGAGGCTTTAAAAGTTAAAAGGGAAATGCAAATGATAAACCAAGAGAATGATCTAGAAAATGTTTTCTTATTGGATCTACAAAAGAAGCATGATAAAGTCTTGAGGAAATCTGTGATGGGATTAAAAAAATTAAGAAGAAATCATATCCTTCAATAGTTTGTGATTGAATTAAAGAAAGGAAGGAATATAAAGTTGATTTGCCTGAACAAGATTAAAATAAATTAATTAAGTTTTCTTTTGCAAAGTTCTGGCAATCCTTTATGGACTTTCTTGCTGATACCAGGATTGAAAAGTTGATGTTTTGTGGATTTGCCTATAGATAAATGATAAGGGCTGAAGAGACATACGTTTGTAAACTTATAGGAGGAGAGTTAATAAATTTGTTTATACTTGTTATGATGGTCACTCCTTTATATGTTTCTTTTCTTTTTGTTCTCTCATTTTGCTTTCCTACACTTTTTATCTTTTCCGATTTAAGTTTAGTTTGTATTAGTTTTACTATTGTAATCAGAATTCTTAATAAAAATTATATTTAACTGTTCAGTCAAGAGTGTTTGAGTAGGAATTCAAGAAAGTGGTGACTACAATGATACTATTCTTTGCTATGAACTGCCAATCAGTTTATAAGGATAAGGATAATCTCCTCTTGAACCAGGTAGCCAAATTTCAGGAAGAAGAAACATATTAATGATGGGAAGTAACCTGACCAAGAATGGAAGTTCCCCCAAATTCCTCAGTGATCCTGCTGTTTCATTTTTCAAAAGGATGAGGAAGAGACATGGGGATCTGTTTTTCTAGACTGGGTCCTAACCAATAAAAAAGAAATGTTTGAAGAGGTTAAAAAAACTTATCCAAGTTTTTTGCTAACCATAAACTCATCTTAATGTGAAGTATCAAATAAATTTGACCATTAACCCCAAGAAAACCCAGTCCAAACCTCACCCATATGCCAATATCAATATTTACCTTAACCACTGCACCAGCACAAAAATAACTGTAATATACAACTACTAACCAGAAACTTAGTTATAGCATACACCACTTAGTATCTTGATCCTAAGCCTTGCTTCACTGTGTCACAATAACTATTTATTTATTTATTAGAATTTTTCAAACAAAACAAGAACAAGAATAAAAGAATAAAAATACAATGACAGGGACGATAGGCACGTTAGTGCACTTATGCACGGCCCCTCTACTAACCACTTAAGTATGATGTAAGGTCCACAGAAGTCAATTTGTGACTGAAACTGTGAAAATTTGTAGCTGAAACAACTGAATCAGATAGAGCATTCCAGACTTTGACAACTCTATTAGAGAAATCATATTTTTATAGTCAAGTTTAAAACGATTAAACATTGAGTTTAAAGTAATTGTTACCACACATATTATTGCGATTAAAACCAAAAAAAGTCATTTACAGGTAAAACATTACTAAGTATAATTTTGTATGCAACACCTAGGTCTGACCACAAGCGACGCAGTTCTAAGTTATCCAAACTGAGAATTTCAAGGCTAGTAGCATAGGGAATTCTATTGTGTACAGAAGAGTGCAAGACTTTTCTCGTGAAATACTTCTGAACCCGCTCAATTGTACTGATGTATGTATGAATTGTATGATGGGGATTCCAAACAGTTGAACAATACTCGTAAGATTGGTCTAGCATACGTTTTATGAGCTCTAATTAGTAATACAATGTTTCCAGGAAAAAAACTGTGCAAAATTAAATTTAAAATTCTTAATGCTTTTTTAGCAGCGCTGTTACAGTGAACTTTGGAGCATAGATCGTAACTAATAAATTCTCAATCAGAAAATAAATGTGCAATTGCCACAAACCATAAAACTCATCTAATAATATCATCATGCTAACTGTTGGAATAAATCTCAAGGAATACTTAAAATAATTCTAACTTCACCCCAATGCCAATAAAAATATTTATACTAACTCTTGTTCCAGAAATGGAGGCCAACAGTAAGGGGAAACTAAGACTAGCTCTAATAATTCTAAGCGTGCGCGCATAGAACTGCGCACAGAACCTGTAGGAAACAATTTGGAAACTCATCACTAGTCAACAAATTTCACAGGGGATTAGACTTGGGTCTCTTGTAGCAATGCAATGACTCCAAACTGATGACTTGTTTGACTCTGACTTCCAGTTCCTCATGCTTTTCTATAAAAACTGCCACTGGCATTGAAACATCTAATGATATTTCATAGAGACAGAGCTTGATGGTTCCAGCCATCCTTTTCTAGTCTAGTGCTTGACTTTTAACTTTCACACTGTGAAAAAACCTTAGTTTCTTGCTTGCTATTTAATCATGTCAGTGACTACGTTGCTTAGAGACAGGGTGTAAAAATTCATAGGCTAGGATACTCCTGCATTTTATTTAAGCACATGGACATTTTCACAGGGGACAAGATGGGCAAATGATGACAATGACATAATTGTGCAACAGCTTGTGATTTACATACTTGCATGATTGTCATCCCATGGATTTTAGAATCAACACTGTTTGCTGGGTATGTTGGTAAGTTGCTATTTCAAACACATTTTCACCGAGGAAATTTCCTGGAAAACCCTTGTATTAGTAGGCTGTTTATGGCAAATGTCCAGTGAAATCAAACTCTTTCTTCAGACAGAAATTAAATCAAGGCTGAAGTAGATTTTGGTGGGATTTCTTTTCAAATTGGCATTAGGTCAGAGAACCATAAATTAGTTTGTGCACTTGCAACTCTTCAGCTTTATACGCTTCAGAAACTATTTGCCTACCAAAGCTTTCAGAGCCCCTTTTGTAGTAGAAAGGGGCTCTGAAAAGCTTAACTAAAAGCTTAACCAAGAGAAAAAACTTTATTTTCTATCAACAGATATTGTACAGATTGCCACTTGTCTAGTCTGTTCTTTACAAAATAAATAGCAAGCTCACAAGAAGTCAAGGTCTCTATTGTATACATCAGACAAAGCATGTAAATGCATGAAATCTGCATGAAGAACAATTTCCTCACTTTTGAAGGAAATTCACATGTAGCAGAGGAGGAAATTAGACAGTATACAGTAGATCAAAGCCACCAGCAGGGTTTTCACATCTCATATTTTAACCTCAGGAAATTAAGCCGGGGGTTGGCATGATCAAGCACCTACAACTTACTACTAGAACTTTTTTAGCCACAAGTTCTCTGTTTTGGCTCCTTATTGCCAATGCTTGTTTGCTTACATTTTCTGAGTGAAGAAACAAACAATCAGTCAGGACCAGAAATATAGTGGAGAAGTTTCTGTTTCCATTTCTCTTTCCTTCCGCATTGGGTCCAAAGTAAGAAGGCAAAAACAAACAATTGCAGCCAGTGGTGGGTTTCAAATTTTTTACTACCGGTTCTGTGGGCGTGGCTTGGTGGGCGTGGCAGGGGAAGGATACTATAAAATCTCCAGTCAGAGGTGGTATTTGCCAGTTCTCCGAACTACTCAAAATTTCCGCTACCGGTTCTCCAGAACTGGTCAGAACCTGCTGAATACCACCTCTGATTGCAACAGGAGTGAAATCAAATGTTTCTCCCTGAGAAACATTTAAACCGGGAACTTGTCCACTTTGAAAGTGATGGGTCTTTCAGAATTAGGACATGTTCCTACCATACTTTTCAAACTAATGATATAGAAGGATAGCTCCCATCATAGCCAGCATGTTCAGATGAGAGCACATTACTTGTAGGAAGTAAGGATCAAAGTATTGATGTAAAGACTTTTATCATCTGCCTTTAAGTTCTTAAGCTGATTATTTCTTTTTTGCGCTTAGCAAAATATTGTTTGTCTTGAAATGAAATATTTTGATGTGTATATAAACATGTCTAAATGTGAAATTTGTAGTGTTGAGAGTGATTCATTCCATTTTGTTTTTATTCATGTCTCTCCTCCCCCTTGACTTAGGTCTGCCTTATGGGTGGGAAAAGGCGTATACAGCAGATGGAATCAAATACTTCATCAAGTAAGTACATCACTTTCAGAAGGCAGTTATAAAATAGATAAATAAAATAAAGCTTTATAATCTTAGATGCATATGGCCACTGAGGAATATGATCACTATGCTAGTAAAAAAGCATAGAAATATGCTCGAGCTGGCACATACTTTGCAATGTCTTGGTTATACATACCGATAGAAAGTTTGGGCATAGAAATAAAGAGTTATCTTTTAAAGAATAAGGAAAGCTTCTACTAATAGCATTTATGTTATCGTGTTGTCTTCAAATTCTGTAAATCTTTTGCCTTTGACTAAGGATTTCCAGGGATAGATAGAAACATTTTTACCAAGGGTCTTCAAACTTGGCAAGTTTCAGACTTGTGGACTTCAGCTCCCAGAATTCCTGAGCTAACATGACTGGAGGAGGAATTCTGGGAGTTGAAGTCCACAAGTCTTAAAGCTGTGAAGTTTGAAGACCCCTGATTTTTACTGTGTTAGCCATGCAAATACGTGTTCAGTTTCTTCCTTTCAAACTTTGCTCAAATATTCAATCCTTACCATGTGAATTCTGCTCAGACCTTCTCATTCTGATTTCCACATTTTGAGTGTAGCTGTTGATAACCGTATCTAATGAATTGAATACCTTCCCACAGCTTGGTGTGGTTATCCAAAACCTTTATACATCAGCAAATACATACTCTTTGCTGTGAGCTATACTCAAACTAAGGAAACATGTCACATCAGGATTAAAAACACAGATCTCATACACCCATGCACAATTAACTCTTGAACTGGGTTGTTCGATTCTGGATTTAAGGTGTTAAAGAAGATGCCATTATTATCTGAAATAATCCTTTCTTTTGTGCAGTCCTAAGATCCCCATAGTATGTACTGGTGCGGCTTAGAGACAACAGTCAAACAACAAACTATTAATGGGGTAGTAACTCATTTGTCTCAATAACAATCAGGATTCAAAATTTTAGTTCTCATTCTCACAACAGTCTTAATTCCCAAACGCTCCCCGGATAGGAAGAGATGGGAGATTCTTCTTGTTCGATGATAGATCAAGCTTTCTTGCTATCTCAAAGTGATACACATTTGATGTTGATTGCAGGCAAATTAAGATTCCCATAGAAAGAAATATAAACATGTAACTTTGTTAATAAATTGTTCCCACCCCATTATAAATAGTTGTGTTGCTACTGCTAATCTTTTCATCATTAATTTTTATCTGAATTAGCATGGACTCTCACAGCACACCCAATGCACCGAAGCAGATCACTGCACTTTGCTGCATGACACAAGCAATCTAACCAAAAGGGAGCATGTGCAAACACAGACTTGATTCAAAAAGCAATGGACTTTTTTTTTCATTGAGTTAAAAATTCTTCTCAGAATGCAGTTTAGAGGCTGGTCAGTAAAGGTCACTCTGCTTCTTAGCATTTTGCTTCTATAAAAATACGGGAACTATTTCTTCCTTCTGTCCTACACCTCCTTCATAATGTGTGTGAGATAGAGGGGTGAGTTTGGTGCCAGATGAGTTGTGTGCTTGTTCTTTGTATTAATCAATGTCATATCATCATTCAAAAGGTTTTATACATTTATCAACAGCAAATTTTTATCACTGAAACAAAATGAATGTCAAAACAAAATTTCATCTTACTCAACAAATGACTTTTAAAGATTTCCTCCAAAACTGAGTGATACTGAGAAATATATTTTTGCAGAAGTCTAAAATAGGTTACTAATCCTCAGGAAGAATGGTGACCTCTCCTCTCCTCCCCTCCTCTCCTTAAAAATTAATATTGATCCATTTTCTCATTTCTCATTTAAATCTCTGGAAATTAACAAATTATCTTAAAAAGCTTTCTTTGGAATAGACCAGTCCTGAAAGAATTTCACAGACAGAAGCACCTTTAAACCAAATGTAATGGGCTGCCAGAACTGCCAAAAGGTTTTAAAAACTTAAAATATTTTTAATTATATATACATAATAAATACACACTTAGCACCTTAAAAACAGTGACACAACTAGTGCTGGTATTCACAACCAGCAGCAAGGATTTGGCATGAGTCGCCGCACCAGTAGTAATTTCTGGCTGGCCATGCCCCCAACCCGGTTGCTGCTCGCTCGCTTGCCCCGCCCGCCCCATGTTCGCCCGCCCAGTCACTCCTTAAGGTATTTCTTCTTTTTTACCTCACGACAAGGATTCCCCTTGCTTCTTACTGCTTTGCCCAAAAGGCTTCCCTGAGGCCTAGGAAGGCAAAAAATGGAGGAGGGGGGCTGCATCCCCTCACTCCATTTTTTGCCTTCCTGGGAGCAAACCCCCCCTCCCCCCGAGGCTCCTCTGAGGCCAGGAAGGCCCCAAAAATGGGGTGGGGTGGGGGGTGCTGTAAAAAAAAGCCACGCCCACCCAATCACATGGCTACACCCACCTAGCCACACCTACCTAGCCATGCCCACAGAACCAGTAGTAAGAAATTTTGAGTCCCACCACTGGACACAACATTTCTATTGATACAACAGTTTTTATGAGTAAACATCAAAATTTCAGTCAGCTAATCCCAAAGAAAATTTGGCAAACTTTCTTTAGATTAGAACATACAGTGCATTTTTATGTTATAGAAAAGTCAGAAGATTGAGGCCAAATGGCACATATAGCTTGGAATTGCTCCTAATATTGCCTTTTTGGTGTTGTTTGCTTCACCTATAGCTTGTATATATTTGGTTGTTCCTGGGATATGGGTAGAAGTAGTTTGTTCCTCTTTTATCAGAACTGTCCACTGCTGAATAAAAGAGGCTTGAATTCTCCTGGTACTAAACAATATCAAAATAAACAATAACCAGAACTTCCAATAAGATGACTAGAAAAATGGAGTTGGCACTTCATTAGATGTCACCCATTAGGTAGTTTTGAGATTTGTATGGTCCCTTCTACATACCTGAACATTTTTTTAGATTAGATCTACAAGTTTAGAGAGAGAGAGTGAGAGGAAGACAGAGAGATAGATTTAACCAAAAGAAAAACCAAATGAGAGGGGTGGCCCTCAGTAAGCAAACTGGATCTCAGTAGATATTCAGACTTCAGAGATTTCTCCTTCACATCGCCTGGGAGGACTTCTGCCAAATATGGTAGCAGGAGAAACACTATTTTGAAGCCAGAACATTTTAGGCTGTCTTCTGCCTGCCTCAGCAAAGAGTTAATGACAAGATGAAAGTGCCTTTGTGAGAATATGTCCTCCACAAACTGTTAATTGCTGTCCTCGCTGCTGTGGCAAATAGGATGGACAGAATCTGTGGACAGGCATGAGTCAGCAATCATCTCTCAGAGCCAGTCAGTTATCCAGACCACAACCAAAAATTGCTGCTGTGTTACAAAAAGATATCCTTCCCTTAAAAAGAAGGGTTTCAAACGTATTTTTAATCAGATGGTCCCATTCAGGCTTTATTTTAACATGTCTATGTTATATAAAGAAAAATTAGTGGAAGAAGTACATTTCAGTCTGTTCTTTCACTCTTTGGTATTTGAAATAACTGCAGTTATGAAGGTCTTTAAATTATTTCCTACTGTTCTGTTTCCATTGTACAAAATTAGGAACATGTCTTGGTTGTCATGGTAATTATAATTCCCCATATCATTCTAACTTTTAATCTACTGTGCCTGACTCCTTCAGTTTATATTCAGGGCTATTCTCTCAATTGAATTTCAACTGAAGGTGATGAGTTAAATTAGATTTCTTGTTGTAAGGGAAGAGACTAGTAAACGCAATGGTATTATTAACTCAGCAGATAGCTTGACTCCATAAGTTTGAATAACAATGAATGCAATAAATGCTTTACAAAAATGGCATCTGATTATTTTTAAACTGGAGTAGTAAAATCAACTCTTCTTCAGGTTTGAAATTGACTCATGCTGACCACAGAGGGACAACCATGTTATTTTCTTGACAGTGTTGTTAAGACACCTTCTGGAATGTTCTTTCAGTTTCCCCAAATAAACCTACACTTCTGGAATATGCTGGTGATTCTTACTACAGGCTGGCTTATGTTTTTGTTGGAAAAGAACATGTTTATGTCTATTAATATAGAAATAAGTTCTAAAAAGTATACAGCATAATTTATTAGGCGTTTTATGAAATACAATGTCATAAAGAGTTACTTAATCTGAGATGTCAAACTTTTGTATTTAATCTGTCTGTAAATGTTCTCTTAGAACTTTAATCTGCATTATAATTCTGGCATATAAAATAATATATGATCCTATAGTCATACTTGAGGTATAGGAGACTGCCACAGAGACTGTGAGCTTTCTTGCACAGGATCTCTTAGAATGAGCAGAGACTACAAAGCAGGTAATGATCTGTACAGATTTTATTCAGTAAGACAAAAAACACATCCTTATAGATTTTCCCATTGGAGTGTTCCCCATTAGTCCAATGCAATATCAGTATGGCTAACATCATGAAACTGCAACTAAGAGCCACAGTGGCACAGTGGTCAGAGCGCAGTACTGCAGGCTACTTCTGCTGACAACCAGCTGCCTGCAATTTGGCAGTTCGTTCTCAGCGGCTCAAGGCTGACTCAGCCTTCCATCCTTCCAAGGTGGGTAAAATGAGGACCCAGATTATTGGGAGCAATAGGCTGACTCTGTAAACCACTTAGAGAGGGCTGTAAAGCACTGGGAAACTGTATATAAGTCTTAATTTTTAAAAAAGAACTTGCCTAATTTTTCTGCTGCACTCACTGAATTGGCATTCTTTTGGTGCATAGCAATTTCCTGCATATTTAATTATAATTCCATTCTGCCCATTTTCTACAATACTATAGTTTAAAGAGGAAAAGCTCATAAAAACTCACATATTTTTCAATCCAATTTTCCCTTACTGTGCCTGTGTGCAGTGGCATGTATAATTATGGAACCAAGCACAGCATATGCATAATTACAAGAAGCATATACTGAATGATAACTGGTTTATAATATTTGTTATTAGCCTGAAAAGTGGAAGAGTTAGATCACTTCAAAAAA